CTTTTTTTATAACGAGGGTACGAATTAACTTTATACTCGTACAAACAAAGTAAAAAGTAAAGTCAAATTGGTTTACCTTTTTCCTAGTAAATTTGTAACACTCCCGGTTTAAAAAAAATAATACGACATTTCAACAACAAAATTATTATGATTTCATCCATACATCAGTCGTATTTTATATAATAACGTCACACCCATTGTAGTGGTCACATAAGGACAGTTATTAGTATTGCCGACAAGTATCCGGAAGAAGGAAGCCTGCAGGGTCGGGTAAATCTGCACTATTCAGTAAGACCCTATAGAATTCTTATTAAGATTCATCTTACTCATAGCGGTACCGATCCCACATATTAAATACATGTGCATTTATAAAATAAGGAATGTTCTTGTCATCTCGCTGTATGCAATTATTTTTTGCTCGGATGTACATTAGATATGTATTAATAGGGTTTTATATATTGGACGTATGTCTACATACATATATGTAAATGTACATATATGAAAGTTAACTTTATTCAGTTTTAAATAAAACAATGGAATATTAACTATACGATGTCCATTTTATATTATTTCATGAGTATGAAATGGTATAAAATGGTATTAAAAAGTGGAATCTTTAGAAAATTGAGATAGTACCGGTTGTCACTACACAGTCGATATTCATTTGTCAAATGGCTTCAGTTTCGTTTGCAACAAAAAAATTCTGAAATAAAGCTAGGTCCCTGCCGCTCTTCCCAAGCAAAATGAACCGTCTTGGAACAGAAAAAAATTGATTTGGAGCTGAGGTAGTATCGATTCTTAAGCATAAAAAGTTGTCGACAAATTTTGTTCGTACAATCTTTTAAACCTCTCACCTAAAAAGTTGTCATTTTACAGTAGTGGCTTTATTACAATGAGAACAAATATGGGATGTATATGAAATAGTACATTACGTACCGTACATTACCGTAGTGTATGCAATTATTACCGTTAGTGCAGGTGACCTCACTGTGTTGTAGGAAAATTATTGATTCAAAGATCGGATTACCATGTACACCCATAAACCATGACTGTGGCTTTAGACCGTAATCTTCAACTCATCGTTAGTGTAGCTAAATTACTAGGTAGGTTTTTCCTAATTGAATGGATTCTCGAATGTCACGAACGGCGATGAAAAAAAACTTAACGACTCGAAAAAAACCTTCGCGACGGAAACTCAACGGGACAACACCTCGAAGTTATAGTAATTCGAAGAACTTTGTTAGATTTACTACTATAAATACTATCATAATTAAGTTATTTTTAATAATAAAAAAGATGCTAAAACTAGGTGTAAAGTATTTCGTGGATCGTCCGCAAAAACCATCCATTGGCCAATATTCTAGAAAAATCTCGTGATTTAGGACATTGATTAAAATTTAATCAGAGACATAATTAGTGATAAATTGGTGCTAACATTTAGATTGCACTTTTGAGTTAAGTGAGTAATAGATGCAAAAAGTTTGGGCAAATAAAGTTTGGTAATGGCCAATGTCGCGGGTGAAACTGATTTTGGCAGCCTCCGCCGACATGCTCCAACGAGCGGAACATTGCTACAGCCACAACTTCGGTTCAATCTGCGACAGGGGGAGGGGATTATGGATATACAGCAGTACTGAGCCTTCAATTTTATCAACGATGTGGATGGCTTAACTATAAAACCCATTCAAATACAGTTGAGTGTAGACGAACGAATCCAATGTAACCTCTTGCCAGAAATAAATCTCATCTATCAATTTCGAGCTCTTAATTGTAATACACCCATCTCTTAGAATAGATACTAACGGAAGAGCATATATATAAGCAATTACAGAAGGCCTTAAAACATTGTGTAGTCATAGTCGCAGTGCAGACTCAGAGCTTAAGATTGCAAAGAACCTGAGGGGCACTGTCACTGTGCCCGTCACCCTGAAACATTAGTTGACAAGTCCTGCCTTACTATTACTTACTGCTTGGCAGCGGAAATAAGTAAGGTGGTAGTACTTCCCTGGACGAACTCTTTCACAAGGAGCTCTGCTGCTAATCCTTAACAATATGCCATATATAGGAAATGAAACTATTATTCCGCATTTAAATCGCGAATATTTGTTTTTTCAAACAATGGTCAACGTGTGGAAACATTGGTTTGTTCGAAAAAACAAATATACGCGATTTAAATCCGAAAAAATAGTTTAATTTCCTATGTGTAACAATCGCGAAAACCTAAAACCTCAATATACCATGCAAGTTAACAAAAGTAGAACAAAAAAAATTACTTCCGATTGAGTACATCCTGTCTAGACCAAGTGCAAAGGGTAGCTGATAGAAATCCGACGACGATATTAAAAAAAAAATCAGTTGTATTCTAATTGGTGTTAGCAACATACGTTAGGTTATGAAACTAAAAACTGCACTAACTAAACATAACATGTCAAAATTAAACATTTTTTATGATTACACTATTATCTCGTCGCATTGTAGTAATGGTGGTTACATTGTGTCTATTTTTGGCAACATAGCAAACACGTATGTATGACGTTTTGTACGAAAAAGTATATATGGTATATTGGTTTGTAAATACACTATCAAATGTTATTTTAACACAATCTTCTTTTTGAATTTTCTAACGTTAACTTGGCATCTTTTAATATTATAAATAAACGGAAATAAATTCAATGAAGAAGTAAAATAGATCACGAAATTAGTGAATTGTTACTTTTTAACAAAACATGTATCTATTACAAGTATATGTATATACGTGTATCTTTGACGTTTTCGTAAAACAAATCAAATTTTAATTTGATATATATAATATTAAAAAAATTTAATTTGATATATTTAAAATTAGTGCCCAAAATGACTAATGGCTCTAGGTCAGGGAGGGTCAAAAGCACGTCAAACTTGATACGTAAGAGTCTATAATTTTTCTAATACCAATACCATTTTGCTTGGGTTGAGCGGCAGTTTCACCGGCTCCATTTCAGTTTTTTTTTTTCAAACGAAATTAAAGCCATTTGAAAAATATTATCGTATAGTATACGTGTTCGACTTAGTTCCGTGGGTGTAATAAAAATCATTGGTATTCGTAAAGCACCTATTGAACACAGCGGTTTTCTTGTAAAGTTTCTAGGTCAGTTTCTGTTTTTTTTTCTGTCATGAAAATTTTTAGGAACCGTGTTTCCACACCGTAGTATTAGTAGTAGTAGTCAGCGAATAGTATATCCTCAATTTTATTATATATTTTTAATGTTAAAAAAAGAAGAGGTTCTCAATTGGTCTGTATGTTTTTTTTTGTATATATAGTAATGTTTGTGAACAGATTTGTATGATTCCTTTTTTCGGGAAAGATTTAAATTTGAAAAAAATATTCCAAGTCTAAGGGTGGCAAACTAGGAGATGCATCCGTAATGCAACCGATTTTAAAAAAACATGGCAAATAGACGCAATTCCATAAACTTTTTTTCTAAGTGATTCATTCAACATTTTCACTTTTATGAGGAATCGACCAACGCCATTTGAGGTAGTATAGACTCTTAAAACTTAAATCCAACTCTATGCCATTTACGATAAGAACGGTCCAAAGTACTGTCAAGCTTGATTGGCTCTCGATGTACTAGGTTGTGATATTATTTTTTTTCACATTTTTTTGGAATACGTACAGTCTAATTACAAGTATGAATATACAAAAAATGTATTATAAATAAACATACGTACGACGATTGACGAAAAAAATATGTATTTTTAATTTACATTGAACAGCAGATAAAAAGATACAAATATGCTATTTTTCTGTCGTTTACACGTACGTGTAAATACATAAAGATGTCGTGAATGAGTCACACGGATATGACGTGTTGCGCCTCCAAGATTACTCTGACCTCCAGATTTTCATCAACATAATATTTGTCACTTCGTAATCGTTTATATTAGAATATAAACAGGTTAAAATTTACGATTAGTGTAATAAAAGTACGAAAAATAATCAACTTAATAGTCATTGGTACGTAAAACCGCAAAATGTACTTAAACACAATTGTGAATTTGAAATCGATCTACTTTGAAAATTAATAATAAAGTATAACACCGCTGCGATAGGTATTTTGGAAACAATACGGGAAGGTCGTGATACCGACTACCTTATTCTAATTCACTCATATCTAATGCGCCAATCTTTTTCGCAGCTAATAATTTCTGATGACCTCAGTGGTCAAGTGGTTTACACACCGGTTTTCATGGTGTCGCCATCTCTGAGGTTCGGGTTCAATCCCCGGCCGGGTCAATGTGGTAAACTAACTTTTCTATATTGTCTCAGATATGAGTGCTTGTGGTACCATCGTTGTTTCCGATTTCCGTAACACAAGTGCTTAAGTTATCACTTTGAGATAGGGGAAACTTTTGTGATGTTATCTAATATATATGTATATTTATTTATATATGGAAAGTTTTAAACTTTGAAAATGAAACCAAACACTGTTGTAACTCAATGGTGGATTTGAGAAAACACGGTTTGAAAGTTCACTAAGAAAAATTACTGAATAGAACCGATAAATTGACATTCTCGATAAATGGATAACTAAATATTACGTATAAATAAAAATTTCAATAATTTTTTTAAACTTTCAAATGATAATGAAACTATTTTTTCGGATCTAACATACGGGTCTTTCAAATGGCGTTTAATAAAATGAGATTCAGACGATTTACACTTTGTTACAACCTCCCCGTCAAGGGGTTCTTTATAAACACGTTTTTTTTTTAGCCAGTAATGTAAAAATTTTGTTAAAAGAACGTAACACCACAAAGAAAATATAGAACGCATAATATGTAATTCCATGTTGCGTATCTGTAATATACCCGTATGATCAAAGTTTCTATGATCGTGTAACAATGTTGTGACTAGTAGAAATAGATAGAGGTAGTCTGTTCCTTGAAATCAGGTCGTTCTATCAGTGAGTGTTAAAACCAATATATGTTATTAATCATCATTTTTTTCTTTGTTTCAGAACCAACGCCCATGTCACAACAAACCGACAGAAGCAATAATAGATGATATTTTGTACAACCAATTGTTAGATCTATTATTAAGATAATTGGAGGAATGAGAATCCGTCTTTTTTAAAAGATATTTTTTTATAGAAATATTGCTTTTATATAAATGAGCTTAGGTAGTGTAGCAAAAATGGAGTTCAGCGTGAGATGTCGTTTGAGGATATTGTGGACAGCTGTGGCGACCTTGGTCTTCCTGTCTAAGAGTAGTGCGGCGCCGTCTTTCGGGGGTGGCACTGATAGTGCAATGGTAAGTTGTATTTATTTATTTCTAACATGTGTTAAACATTTCTGCCCTCGTTGTCACAACTAACGCTATTGCATTCAATTGCATTTCGGTAACTTTGAGATATTGTCACCTATAAAAAATCAATTACGCCTGATTTTGCTTAACAATAAAAGTGACTAAATAAGATATATTATACACTGTTAATACAATAGTGTATTAACTCAAAAAATGCATTTTCTCAGAATCGATGAAAAACGAATACGAATTTCCCGAGAAAATTTATGTATAGGTCAAAGTTTATTGCAGACATCTAAACAATTTTCTACTGGCCATATATATTTAAAATAACGGGAGAAAAAATTTCATATTTTTGAGTAATGACTGTATGTTTAAACCAGAACTAGATTACATAAAGTTGGTCTCATTTTGAGTTAAGTAGATTTCTTTTAACAGTTTCTTACAAATATGCAAACGACAGTTTTATTGACGTGTAGAGAATGAAATTTTACTTTCTGCAATGATATAATCTTGATTTTCACATATTTTGAGTTACAACACTATTGTAATAGCAGTGCGAATGTCAATAACTGAATTTTGCTCAAAACGTCGATTACGTTAATTATGATAAGCAGGGAAGATTTGCCATTGGAAGTTTTTTTTTATCTTATTCGGATTTTATCAACTAATGACCTAAAAGAAAGAGAGGCCTGACAGGGCTAAAATGTTGACTAAAATCAAGACACTCATAATAACTAGGGCCACAGTTTGGCATACACTGTTGCTCTGGTACTCATAGTATAGGGAATGGCCTGGTTTCAAACTGGGGAAGTTTGAGAAGTTTGAGATGAGAAGAATGCTCACATTATCGCGTTTTGGTTTTAAAGCGTGCTGGTGAAATTACTGGCACATGGGACTTGTTAACTTATGTCTCAGGGTGATGGACGCAGTGGCAGTGCCCCTCAGATCTTTATGATTTAAAGTACTGCGTGTGGCACTGCAGCTGTTATGACCGTCACTTAACTATCTGTCATCATAAAAAAAGACCAGGCTATTGACGTGGTTGTCTGGCATATTAATTTTCATCATTATTAATTCAGCTTTGGAAAAGTTGCTATCATTTTATCGTAATCGTAAATTATAGTACGTTGTGGAACAATGACTCAAATTCGTAGAATCTCTCACGCTCATCTAAATCAATTAAACTATGTATAGTAGTAATGCTTCATTCATAACCCTCCGCCAATCCGGTCAAGATGAGAAGTGCTACATCCGCCAATATTTAAGAGCAACTTGTTAACCTTCTCGATTTGTTTGCGAAGTGTCTGAGTCATACTATAGTGAACATATGTTGAACACTATTTGGTCATTATATGTAGAGGTAGTATTTCATTGAATGCGTCATTTCTGTAGTATTTCTTCGTTGTGAATCAATGGTAATAAATTGTGAACAGTATCATCTTTAATATATATAATACGTATATATATATATAAATAACCAAATTTGTTCCATCGCATTTGATCGCTCTTAGCAGTGATAATTCTGTGCGGTTATAAAAGAAAGCGCTAGAGTAAATACCAGCCCGATGCGAAACGCAGTAGCGGGGGTGGGGGTCGACGGGGAGGACGCTTGCACTTTTCAACTTACTACATTACTACAGATCTTAAAGTGTGACATAAATTACCTTACCTATTTCTGTGGTATTAAAACAGGAACACAGTAAATGTGAGCATTACTGCGTTCCCGTTTTGAAGGGTACTAGTGAAATTACAGGCATACGAGACTTGTCAACTTATGTCTCAATGTACCTTTCTATTTAAAACACGAAAAATTTTATGACTAATTTTAACAGTAGAATCTTTAAGTCTCTTTTCTGAAATATTGCCATTTCGCAGATGTGACTTTATTACACCAATTGTGCCATTTTTTAGGTGCAATTTCGTATTTATACTCGTATATCGAATATATGTAATCACAGCCTACCGGTTTTATCATTACTTTATATCTTATAATATAAATCTACGCATAATACTGAAATACATACCTATTTAAAATAAATTATAAATGTTTATTTACTTGGAAACCGTAAAAAGTTGATAAACAAAATACCCAGATAGCTGACGTAGTTCTATCAAAAATTATCTGTGCAATAATATCATTGACACAAACAAGCATCGACCATCAAACACGTTACGTTTTTGATGATGATGTTAATGAATTAGGGCTATCATTATCATTCATCAAATATCATAATTATGAGACAATTGAGTATAAAACAAACATTCTCGTATTAAACAGTGCAAGAAACTTGATTTAGTCTGTTTGGAAAAGACGAAAACAATTTGTTCAATTGGAGTCTTTTGAACGCCAATACAGTAAATGTAGTCCATCTTGCTCATCTCTGAGTTACGAAGACAAAAATTATGAGTCTATCAGGCTCAGCGTTAGTACAAACAGACAGACTCGCTGTATGACTATAGCGCTACAGTAGCAAAAGAGAGCACGATGCTCAGTTTCGCAGTTGTGACGTCATTTTTTTAGAGTAATTGTCACCTTGCAGATATATTTATTGTCTGCGTGCTCATGCTTTAGAAATACTTCATTCACTTCCATCTTCGGTCGTATACCCATAAAGTTACATAACAAGTGACCAAGCGTCAATTCTCTGAGTCACAGTACAACAGAGGTCCACAACTTGGGCGAGAGGGCGCGGCTATAAAATCTGGTCAACGTTTCTCGGAAGCCAGCTGACTCACTAGCAAGTTCTAGGTCGCGGCCTACCACGACATGTTAAGGCGCAGTTACAAACTTTATAATAATAGTAAGAGTTCTTAGGTTTTCGTGACATTTACATATAGTAAATGATACTGTAGTTTTTTTTTCAAACAAACCAACCTTTACTGGCCCTTTACTGGTCTCATGGTCACGGTTGACCATGACAACAAAAATACGCGATTTAAATCCGGAAAAATAACTTCATTTCCTATTTGTAATAGTAATTGTTTATTTCAATCTATAGACTATGACCGCAAAATACAATTTTGTTTTAATGATATCAAGTGACGGGACGAACAGGTCGTGCGCCTGGTGGTAAGCGACACGCCTGTCCCTAACAATCGCAGTGCCACTCAAGGACTTTAAATCGCAAAGATCTGAGGGGCACTGACTCTGCGCCCGTCACCCTGAGACATAAGTTGACAAGTCCCATGTGTCTATAATTTCACCAGCAACCTTACCCTTCAAAAACGGAACGCAGCAATTCTCTCATTACTGCTCGGCGGCAGAAAAAGTTAAGATGACAGTACTTTCCTTGACAAACGAGCTGACTGCTACTAACATTTTAAAACGTCATACACAACAAAATTAAACAATGTTATCTTTATTTAAAAACACTTTGTATGTGCATGTTGTATTTCCGTAATTTGTGTTTGTGGAAATAAATAAATTACGGCTACTCTTAAATTAGTGCAGAAAAACTTGTGTTTAAGAAAACATTATGAAAATTTTGATGATTGGGCCTTAACAATAGCGCAGGCAAATTGTGAAACTGATTTACATAACTATGTTAGTAACTGTAACAGGTAGTTCAAAAAAAGGACAACTACAAAGGATACAAACTGGAATCACAAGTAAAACTTAACGAGAACAAAATAGCCAGTAAATTTTTTTTAGTATAACAATTCCTTGGACATATGTAAGTCTCTTCATTTAAAGTTTATTTTTTGCACCATCTGATATTGTTACACATCGAAGTTTTTACTTTTGTATAAAACTGTAGATTTACGAGCACGTCACTTAAGACTTAAATTCAACTCTATATCGTTTACGATAAGAACGGCCTGAAGTCAATTTTGTTGTGCTCTTGAATGTAGAATGAAGGATGAGGGAAAGTTAGAAATATTAAATATTTGTACGAAATAACTTAAACCTTTCAATGTTTATTTAAACATAGTCATCACCATGTCTTTCAATACGTGCCACTGCTGGGCACGTGTTTAGGCCAGATTCGGCTTCTTCTGACTTAATGCACATTACAGGTACATTTTGTACATGCAGTTTCATCACGATGTGTTCCTCCACCATTAGAGAAAGGTTTTGCTAAACAGTCATAAATGTACATAACTTAGAAATTAAAGTAATTGGTACGTGCTGGGCAAGGTTTTATTTCCGCCGCCAAGCAGTAATGCTCACATTACAGCTTTCCGGCTTTGAAGGTTAAGAGTGCTGATGAAATTACAGGCACATGGGACTTGTTAACTTATGTCTCAGGGTGACAGGCACAGTGGCAGTGGTAAAGCTGCCAGCGTACCTTTTTAATAAATAATAGACACACGCTTGGCCACGATCTATGATGATAAGCGACGATATGACCGACGATGGTACGCGTTTGCCAAAAAAATGCCTATTTACTCTAGCCTTCAATAACCCCGAATTATACTTTTCGGGAAATACAGATACGGCCGGTAGCCGGTAGAGTATTCCATTCCTTTGCTGTACGCATCAGAAAGGAGGAAGCAGAGCGCTTGGTATGAATGGGTGGTGTATCAACGATATATGGACGGAGTGTTTCGGAGCTTCTAGTCGACCGAAGGAGGAACAGTGACAGTGGAACTAAATTTAAAACTTCCTGGAACTGTCGTCGACAGGCGGGACATTTATCAAAGGGCGCACGACCTCGTCTCGCGACCTGGTAGTACAAGAAAAAAAGGTTTCAACCTGTCTGTTGACAAGCACCAATCTTCCCATTAAACCACTATCGCTGTAATCTAAATATAACAGCTTTATTTGAATATATATTCGTAAATTTACCAAAACAAAACTGTTAATTAATTAAAAGTAACAATTTACAAAGGAGCAAGGTCGTGTCAAGGCAAGTAAGTGTTCCACTTACCTCTTTGGGCTTTCACACTGCCGAGTTTCAATAATCGATATTAATCGGAACTTCCAACAATAACCACCATGAAAAGGTCTTTGACAGAGTCTCTTATCATTCAGTGGGTAGAACACGCATGGGCAGCAGCGT